CATATTTATCTAATTTTTAAACTATTTTGAGTTTGGAAACATCAGTTAGTTGATTTAAGCTGGGAGCCACTGTACACTCATACACGAGTGGTGTTATTTTCCTTGTTGGCTTTTCTATGCTCTTACATACATATGTACGTATGTATGTACATACCTACATAAATACATACATACTTAGTTACACTGCCTTTGCATTTCTTTTCCATAGCAATTTACCAAAAATGTACCTTTCACTTTAAAAATCGTAAAATGTCACAAACTGTTCAATAAAAATACAAATACAATAAAAAAGCGATAAAAAAGAAACCGCAGCAACTACAACAACAAACACAAGCACAACAAAAACAACAGTAATAGCAGCTGCAATGGCGAACGCGACAACAATGCAAGCCATTGCATAAATTAATGTAAATTTATGCGAAAATTACAACACCAACAACAGGCCCACAAATAGCAGTTACATGGCAGCCAAGAGGCGTTTTTACAGTGAGCGGGGATGGGGGAGGGGGGTGCTTGGTTGATCAAGTAGCGGAGAGAGTCTGATGTCAAGAAAGACAGAGAGAGAGAGGTAGTGAGAGCGACTAAGAGGGGTTTCCATAGCAGAGCTAGATAGCTAGAGAGAAAGAGAGAGAGGCCTATTTCATTTCTTTGCCGTTTCGAATTGCAAAGCAACCTTGTTGCTTTAGTTATTGATGTTATTGTTGTTGGTGGAGGTGATGAAGGTGGTGGTGCTACGTATATTCCACCTGACTATTAATGTTGTTGTTCTAGTTGTTTTCATTTAGTCTCTCTTTTTTTTAACGTAAACAAATAAACATATAGATACGATACATAAGTGCTGCATGTGGGAACAACAATCAAATTAAATTCACTTGCTGTTAACAGTTACATTTAACAACTGGTGCTATTGTTGTTGCTGTTGTTGCTGTTGTTGCTGTTGTTGCTGTTGTTGCTGTTGTTGCTGTATCTGCAACAGCTGTTGCACAAAAATGCAAACGAAACGAAATTTGAGCTGCGCACTCAAAATTTACGACACAAACGTGTTTCAAATTGTATTTAAGGGTTCAAATGTTTCTTTCGTTTTTGTCATTTGTTTGAAATGTGTGGCCCAAACATTTTTCAATTAGCAAACAGCACAAAGTGCTCCTCTCCTTTCTACTTTTAATGGCCTTTTCCCATACGATATGTGTACGAGTACTTTTGTGTACGATTCTCTACTCTATTCCGTTTACATTTTAAAGTATTTAACAATTTAAGGTGTGGAACAGAAGAAGCGTTTTCATTAAAGAGATGCGTCCGCCTTTTAGTTCGTTGTTTTTGTTGTTGTTGGCTTAATGCCTTACATAAAATGGCCAATTAAAGTGGTTTTTGTATTAACATAATGGCGTGGCAAATGAATTGCCAGCTAACGAAGTACAAATGGAAAATGAAAAGGTTCTGCAGCTACTTAGTTGAATGATTGTATGAATGAATGCATTAATGCACGTAGAAGCGAAGCAGAGGAAGTGGCTTATTAGAAGAGAGCTTGGAGTGTGCGGAGAGGTGCCCGAATTTCTTACTTTATATTTGACATTTCTTTAGAGAGAAAATTAAAAAGAGTTAATAAAACACAAACAAGTAATATTTATTCTAATTTCTTTCTAATTTTTCAAATTCATATTTATACATTTTTACCAGTATGTACAAAATAATAGGTGTGAGCAGATTTTTGTTTAAAATATATATATTTAAATTTTTATTAAAGAGTAAGCAGAGCAGAAAGTACGAAATTCGAATGTTTAGTGCAAGCTTGATGTGTGAAGCCATTATTAGCTCCCTTAATATGGAAAATGCTTTCAGTTGCTCCAGTGTTTTTCTGTCTCTGTGAATTTGTTTGTTTTACAATTAAATTAAAATGCTTCAATATCTAAGTTTATAACAAAACATTGTATTGTGCAGCATACTAGTATAACTACCGATTGTTTTTCCAGAGCTCAACACTTTTAAAATATTACTGACATTCTGCTTCTTACGTCGCTTATATGATATTCTGATTTTTCAATAACTTTTAAGATATGTACTTTGAAAGGAATAGGATTTCAGTCTCTGAAGAATACTAGAGATGAGTGTGCAACATGGACTTAAGTCTCTGAAGAATTTTATAGATAATACAATACAACGTAAACATACTTCAGCGTCAAAACAAATAATAATAAGCTTTACAAGCCATGAAAAATAAGCTAACTTAAATGTTTTCGGTTCGTCAAAATAATAGGTGTGCCAAACTAACTTAATAATAAATATTGAAATATTGTTATTTATGGTCCCGTATTTTACTGAATTCGTTAGAGCGCACTTAATATCCTGAATATCCATCATTATCCTTGATGACTTTTTCGATTTTTTTGCAGTCATTTTCCCAAGGTTCTTAATGGAATTAAGGTCTAAATATGGCCCATCGAATTGAAAAAGCTACACTTGCATTCCAATTGGGTATCACCAGAAGTGGTTTCTTTTTTCAAGAACTTAAGCAGCTCATAATTTAAAGCTCCCGGAATGGTATTCGCAAAATAGCCTGCTTCTAGATGTCTTCAGGTAATCTATTTCAAAATCTTAAAGCCATTTCGTACAACATTTATTGAAAGAAGTATTGCTTTCGTGCAATTAATTAAAAATTAGTCACTTATATTTAGGATTTAAAGTGTATGCTGCCAACCAATTATGCATATCTTCCAAGTCTGTAATATGCAGATGAATATAATTGTGAGCCAGTTTGGCCATCAAGCACAAATTTCTGTAAATACCAAACCCACAAGTACCTCAAATGAAAATTGAAAATGGAGAGCCTCTTGCATCGACAAAATAAAATACAGAAGCATATCCCCAATCCCATTTAAAGGCTGCAGTCGTTGCCTGCTGTTATAACTACTTGAGAGCAGCACTTGGACCCCAGTCGGGTTGATTTTTACGCCAACTTTGCTACGTGTGCCATATTTCTAAAGAAATTACCATAATTTCTGTGCAACGTGCAGTGCAGTGTTTTTGTATTTTCTTTCCATTTCTTGTATTTTGCTCATTCCGACTCGAATTTTACGATATATTTCTTTGTGCTTGCTATTTCCATGCAAAAATCAACACAATTAAAAATGGAATAGCCAAAAATTGCAGCCAAAGCCAGCAGGAGCCAGCAAGAGAGGCAACAACAAGTCGGGACGCCATCGAAGCGCCACTCTAAGGTAAACAAACGAACGAAACTAAAAATTAACGAAACGAATCAAAACGAAACGAAACGAGAATCGCTTCCTGTCAGAGCCAGAGTAGCTGACAAAAATCTGCCAATATATACATAAATATATATTCAAAAAAAAAATCACACACACACGCAAAAATTGCAACCTCACGAATGTCCATATCGCACAAATTAAGTAAATACAGCTCTAAAGCAATATTGCGCAAAATATTTAGGTTTAGGAAGATCCAGATCAGGGCAGAAATCGGCCGTCATATTAGGTTAGGTTGAATCATGAATCACTTAGGCCTTAAAGGATCGTTGTGTTACCATATAAGCCCTAATTTTTGTTTGCCAGATCCCAGCACGATAGACAAACCGATACATATATACATATCCGTCCGTTCTTTTTTTCGTCGGGAAGCTTTGGAACCAGAATAGATAACAACTCCAAGCATGTCTTATCCATACGCAGACCAAGTTTATTATAACCTCAATCGGTCGAAAAAACCACTCTTAGTTGGAATATCTGCTAAAAAATTTGGCATTTATAAGTTTTGTACGGCACCTCCTGAAGTTTCGACGCCCTACCGATTCATCAAATTAATAAAGATATTTCTGTTAAGTTCGATATTGCAACTAAATTGGGCTTGGACAATATTTTGTGGCAAACTATATCATATAGTCGTCGTAGGAATGCTTGGAATACCAAAAGTTATTTTGATTGAATAGCTGTGCTGGTGGTATACTTGTATAGTACGAGTATATCGGATATTAAAGAGTCTGCCTATTCTATTCGGTTGATTTGGATTATACTCGAAGGTAAAAAGGATATAATAGGGTTGTCCAAAGTATTTATTTTCTTAATTAGCATGATGAGATAATTCAATACAGCCACGTTCGTCTGTCGGAAACGGCCGAGCCGACATTGACCAAACTTGGTACGTGTACTCTTCTTTTCCGCGGGTCACACGAGTTTATTTATTTACTTGATTTGATTAATACAATTATATAGAAAACTATATAATCAATCTAAGCACTTGCCATTGAAATTGGAATACGCAGCGCGAACTAAGAAGAATCAATAAAGAACTGGATGACCTACTCGTAGCTCATGTACGTTAATATAATGCTTAGCATTTTCGAACTAGATCAAAAGAATAGGGTGCCACAGCTTTACCAGAGGCAGTGCTTCAAATTTGCGATGAAATGTGGGTGTGCACTCTATTTGCGATAAACAAAAGCATAAAGCAGAAAACTTGGCAGAAGGCAAAGAAAGGCGATATTTTTTGGTTAATGAGTGCGCGGCAAAAGTTGCGCCGGATATTGATTTCAACAAAGGAAAGCCCAAAAGCAATGAGCAGCAACAACAACAACACCAACAACGACAGCTTCAAAGCCAAGGCACTGGTAAGAAAATGGGCAGACCATGAGTCTGTGGACGACTTTGGTAGCTGCTCTGAGAACTGCAGCTGGGGTCGGCTTCAGCGGTGCTTTGTTTGCATTTTCTGTTGCCACTTGCAACTCCGGCAACGACAACTCTTCCAACTCGCGACTACACGACATAAATCTGCCGATAGTTTCTGCTGCTGTGCAAATAAATAAACAGGGAAGTGAAGTAAAAACACAAACAGACACACAAACAAACAAACAAACAACAAGCTAGCAACAAGCTTGCAACATTGTTGCAGGTCTTGCACATTGCCTGCAAGGGTCGATCGGCAATTTTTGAACGTGTGTTGAACCGATTGTTGTTGCGTTTGCGACACAAAAAATGTCGGGATTAACTCACCTTTCCTATTGCTCGGCCAATTCGTTATTGTGGTTGAAGACTGCAAAGATACAAGAACGAAGAAATGTGCGTTAAATCAAATGCTGCTTTAAATGTTTTCAATCACAAGTGCATATGCAACACAAGTAAGTAAATACGATGTGGTTGGTATGTATATGTATATATACATACTTGTATGTATATATATATATTTATATCTGTAAGGTTGTTACAAAAGGAATTCCATTTAAGTCGACGCACATACGACAACATACAAGTAGTTATGGGATTACTTTTCAAGATTGTAGATTTTTTGTTTAGCAATGACATTTGGCTCTCCAACAATTACTTTTCAGAGTGAAATTGAAAGCACATTGCAGGTTACAAATCATACCTACAGGGAAATAAAGCCTTGATTGTAGTTGTTCCTTTTATCGATTTTTAACCATATACCCGAGGGTTAAAGCGTATATTGGGCTTGCGCAATTTCTTAAGATATATAGAAAACCCATTGAGTAAATACAAGTACATATTTGATCAGCACGGTGAGACAAATCGCGTTAGTCATATCTGCTTATCTGTCTGCTCAAACGCCTGAATTACTTCGCACCCCATCGTGTTAACTGATACATATGTATGTACGTATGTACATACTTGTACACATATATAGTATAGTCCTACATTTTATTGCAATGCATAGTGGCGCTTAGGAACTGGATGGGCACGGCGGTCCCCAAAGGAGCTGCCAATCAGAGATGTGGCAAGCGACCACACCTGTGCAAGCCACAAGCCAAGAGCCACAAGCTGCCAGATGCCTCGCGCTCGCACTTACACTTCCGATTGTCGAGCCGGCCCAGAGGTCATTTGCATATAAAAAGGCTAACAAAAATTAAGTGCCCAAGCAGAGTAGAGCAGAGCAGCGACTGCGACAGCAACAGCAACAACAACAAAAACAGAACAACAGTCGACAACGACAATGGAATGGAAACAACAAAGGCAAGTAAATCATATGTGCGCAGTCACTTGCCGGCGAGGCAGCAATAAAAGTAACAACAGCAACGACAAGCGGACAAACCAATAAATAAATTCTAAGAAGGCGCACACGCCGAAAACCTAGAGAAAATGCGAAAACACAGTCGACATTCCATAAATCAAATCCCCAAGTGCGGAAAGCTCAGCCACAATCAACGTTGCAGTATCGTGTTCCAAAACATATAGTTACGAAAACACCGATCCTCTCACCAACTACAACTGAAAATTCTAGATTCTAGAATTATTATTGAATCGCTTGCAGATTAATACTTTATGTGTAAATAAATATTACATAAAACTTTGAACAAAATAAGAAAAAATTAATAAAAAAAAATTGAAAAAATCAACTGTTGAATCAACAATTTCCTTTCATATCTCACAACTGAACATGTTAATGTTAAACTAAATTTATATTTTTAAAATAAATCTTGCGCTTATAGACATGCCAGCGTCTCAGTAGCTAAATAGAATTAAATAAAGCAAATCTAATAAATGAATTATTAAGAAACTTCGAATTGATTTATTTGCTTTCGATTTAAATGCCTCTGTTTTCAAGGATTCACAATAAGGATGGACGACAATTTTGAAAAACACTTGTATTGCGCAGTCATATAAGACATCTGTGTGCAAAATTTTGTATCTCTAGCTCTTATAATCTCTGAGATCTAGGTGTTCATATCGACGGACGGAGAGAGAGACTCGGCTAATGCTGATCAAGAATATCTACTATATATGTACATACTTTCCTCTGCCTGGTACATTTTTAATTTGCAAATTAACTATTTCGATATTTCTGATGGTTAAGTTTTCTTCAAACTTAAAACAACAAAAAAATGGTTGGACAAAAATTGTTCTCTTTAAAAAGGTTTTGATTCAGAAAAAGACTTTACTTTAAAAACAGTTCGACTCTCAATGCCAGTATTACGTCTGTGGTGTTTTCGTAAACCGCAAACAAAATATGTGAATTCCGTAGAAGGAGACGGTGGGCAATTGGCGAAATTTGCAGCTTGCGGAATCGGAGACAGGCCAGAATATTTGTGCTGCAGATTCGGTTGCACAACAGATACTGCTGCAGGTGTATAGTTATGGAAGCTAGACTGTATGTTGAGCCGTGGAAGCGACGACAGCATCGCCAGCAGGCAACATCATGTTGCAAGTGTTCAATAAAACATAAGCTTTAGAGGCAAGGCCGACTGACGGAAGCGTTGATGGGGGGGTGAGGTCCGGCGGGGGCGGATGGTTGGCCAGGGGGTGTCGGTGCCGCCTCTGCTTTTGGGGGTGGGCGTCAAACTAACAAACCATAAAAATGTGCACATAAATTATGCTACTCACAACAGAAGCAGCAACGCAACAGCAACAGCAGCAGCAACAACAACAAAAACAACAACTGGAACATTAACAGAAGGTAAGTAGCAGCTGTGGCAGTCCACTTGCTACATACTTCTGCTTCATTCTCCATTTCTACTTCCTATTCTCCTTGGCCTCGATGGCAGCAACATACGCAAATTTATGGCAGACATTGCCAAGCCACAAGTGCCGCAGAGAGCTCGCCCGGATGGTAAATGGTAAATGGAAAATGGTGGATGGTAGACGGTAGTTGGTAAAATGGAAAGAGACCGACTCAAAGGATGCATCTCTGGTGAGTGCAATGACAAAGGCAAATAAATTACAAGCATTGCAAGCATCATTTGCAAAGCGTCGTTTGGAGCAGCGGCCGCAAGTGCACGTCCAAGTCCAGGCTTCAAGTTTCAAGTCTTGACACAGAATTGAAGATGCCAATCAGGCGGCGCAATAAATGAAAAATAATTACACACAGACACATTTAAGCTCTTTGCACTCTTCCGAAGGGGCTTGGCAGCAACACACACACAATACACCGCGGCTCATTTGATTAGGTTTAGCATACATTGTTGACAATAATTGGTGTTTGTTTATTTACAAGTATGTTGTCGTTGTTCTCAGCAGAGGAGGTACTCGAATTTTGTATTGTTCTGTAATTGTACGCCTGTTTCAAAAGATAGCTACCACTTTGAGCGCTAAGGTCAGACGTGTAAATAATTTGCATACAAATTTCTGTTCATTTACAAGCGCGCTTTAAAAAGTAATTCGCAGAGAAGTTTGTTGTAGCAGAAGAAATTTTCACTATGCATCGAACTCTTATTAGTTTTTTAGTGTATAAGTAATTCATTTCCATGCAAATTATTTGCCTGTCTGACCGTAGATTTAGTTTCCAACATGTCCTTAAGTTAAACATCATTGGTGTTATATGAAAACCACTTCATGCTTGTTGTTTTCGATTTATTGAGTATTGAAAAGTATATTTTAAGGAGCAAATAAATAAGAAATGCAGTCAAAACTAATGCAACCCTAATTAGAATTAGGAAATAATTGAAGGATGAAAATTATATAAAGAGACAGTTTTGCAGCAAATAGGAAAGCCCTTTCCACAGCTGTCTTCTTTGTGAAAATGCATGCTACGAACTTCAACCCAAGTCGGTTAATCCTCCAGACCTTCCAGATGTGTAGGAGACATTGAACACTTGAACGATAAAATCGCTTTTGCCTTGTAATACTGACACTTTTCACAATTTATTTCTATTTTCATAAAACATAAATAAAAATATAAATAAACTCGTGTTGCATGGATATTAGAAGAGTCTACAAAACAACTTGGGTCAATGTGGGTTCAGTCGTTTTTGAAATCCAGACGTACATCCAGACAGATTCTGATATTCTTTTTGAACTGAGAAATGCTTAGTTTTTTATCTACTTTGTCGTACCAAAAAGGCGTAGACTGCCATTTATATGACTGGCGAAATTATTTTTTTATTATTTTTATTTCCACGATATCAGTGAGAATTGTTTGAAATTGTTGTTGAGATTGTCAGATGTCATAAAAGAAAGCAATTATCGACACCATACGGCGTTCACTGGTTTTGTAAATGCTTTCTTTTATGACACCTGACAATCTCAACAACAATTTCAAACAATTCTGACTGATATCGTGAAAGTAAAACATGACAAATGATGACGGTATCTCCATGTCTTACTTCATTTCCCTATCATAATGTGTGATATATAGATAGCTTCGTTATCTTCCAATAAAACGTAATACCTTACCAATAATATGGAAAATGATTTAGAACTTTTCGCTCAACTTTTTAATACCCAATGCATTTTTTTTTCAAGAACGAATATGTTTTGTGCTGCGGAAATCATTTTTGTAGGAAAAGAAGTTCGAAGTTCCATTTTGAAAATCTAGGGACTGTTGTAAGAGTTGAGTTTCGAACCTAAACAGGTGCCGTACAGTGTAAATATCTACACTTAACGCGCTCTCGCCCTCTTCTTTCTGTTCGGTTTTTCTCTTTAGCAAAAACAAAATAAAATAAAGAACTTGCATACTTATTCTTTTTATTGCTGCGCTGCTGTTCTGTTAACTGACAACAAATAGAGAAGCGAGCGAACTGACGAACTGGTCTTCGGGGTCTCTGGTCTTTGGACTGCTCTATGCTGCTGCTTCATTGCATTTTCCATTAAGACAACTGTCATGGCAATGGGGGAAAATTGTATCAATCGTAAGTGTGTGTGTGTGTTTGCTTGTAAGTATAGTATGTACAGAAAAATTATTAAGTCGCGCAACAACAACTTCATACCCGTCTTATACTATATGTATATATATATAAATGGATAGAGAAAAGCAAAACTGCAACCAGTGTCCAATGAAACCGTAGACAACACAACAAGCCCGCTCAGTCCGCGAGTCTGGATTTCTGATTCAACGCGTTCCATTCTCCGTTAGAGATGGACAGACGTATTCTATCAGGCGAGCTCTCCCAATCTACCAATCCTATTTTCACAATCTCAACTACCTAGTGAAGCAGAAAAGAAATTTGAAATAAATTAAAAAGCTCATCATCCAGTATTTAAAAAGGAAACTTCTTAAAAAATGTGATATTTTATACCCTGCACACCTCACAGTTCGTTTATTCGTCTACGGATTGGACATACACAACCAATACCCATTGGAAT